ACTATAAGCATGTTTGTAGAAAGTGACAAGGGTAGCGACAGTAGACAACGCTCAGCAATCACAAAAACTCAATTTAGGTCAAAAACTTTGTAACAATGCAAAAACTTTTAAGTAATGGCGAAGAAAAACGCAAAGCGAATGCGTGAATTTGAACGGGGGCTAAGGTGTTGTGCTCTGCCACGATCTGCCTGTTCCAGTTCAAATTCGAATTCGTCCACCGACCGACTAGTGAGGGCGAGGACGACTATACAAACATTTGCGAACTTTGTTTCACTTGAAGTCTAAAGCATGGGTACGGAAAAATCGTATCTCCATCCATGAAATTTCTAAGGATCTTCAATTTGCACGGGCGTGTACTCTTTACCTTAGGGCAATCACGTGTATTATTTGTGAAATTCCATGGCTAGGACATGAGAAACAAAAATAGACCTAAAGTGCAAATTTGTCACATTTTTTGTGACTTTTGCAACAAATGTAATTTTTCTCAAAAGCTGGTCCTTTTACAAAGTTGTAATTTCATGATTATACTTCCAAAGTTATACTGTAAGAAGATCATCTTCCTTGAAGAGGCGAAGGATTGGTTTAGCAAAAGCATACCTTTTGTTTTTTTTTCGATTCTGAGAAGAGAAGAACGCCAAGCTGTGCACACATGTGTCTGATGTTGAGAGTATGTGCTTGAGCAAGTTGGGGGTTTTGAGATCTTTTGTACGGAGATACGATTCTTCTCAATATTTCACCTCTTTTGAAGTCTAATCGTTTCTTTTCTGCGGAACAGTCTTTGGAAAGGATTTATGGTGTTTGAAAGAAGTCCAAGCTTGTCAAGCCTTGACTGGAAATAACACCTAAGCGGATTTCCACAGGCTTTGTCCCTTCCTTGTAGTCAATATACTTGATACAACGTTGGTTACTTTCACATGCTTTTTTACAGCTTTTCGTTAGTTTTGCGCCACTTATAGTATGACAAGTTTAGACCTTCAAACACATATAACTTCTTTCAGAGGGCTGTTCCGCAGAAATGAAAAACGAATTTAGAATCAGCGTTTAAAAACGCGTCTATAAAGATGTCATGTGGAAATGCCATTTCGACTGAAAAGGCTTCTTTTTAGTAAGTTTTTTTGCTTAATGACTACAGCAGCATATTTTCTAGATGTTGGCGATGAAAAGCAGATTACCTACATAGGTGAGAAGTTCGTGAATTGTAAGCACTCAAGTATCTTATTTGGCTGTGTTACAACAATAAAAACAAGAAAGAAGCCCAGAAACATTATGCCCCAAGCTAACCTATTCCTGGAAAAAGTGCAAATTTTGATGAGTACATTCTCTCGAACGTACATTCTTTGTGTCTGAAAAAGATGATAAAAGTCAACACATGCATACTCGAACTATTTCGCCTAGTGTTGAAACTTCTTAACTTACATTCTTACCTAAAATGCACTGTTAGTCAGTATTTCTACCTTTACCAATGCATATAAACCCGTTATTTGCTAGACTTGGTACTTTGTTGTGTTTGCAATCATATTCTGTATTGAACCCTATTATATACGTAGCATTCGTACTACTCGTCGATCAAGCGTAAAAAACTTTCATGAAAACATACAGTGGAGTGCTGCTACGCTAATCTCTCTACCGCATCTGGTAACATTCAAATCCGAGGTCAGCCTCGACTCTCATCGTTTACAGTAGTGAGTGCGAGCTAGATAGCTATAAACAGTCGCTAAATAACACCTCGTACTCATTAGGACCTCGCAGACTCTGTGGACGTGAAAATCACAGAAAACATCGTGCCGACAAGAAAAAGAATGATAGTCAAACCTATTTTTAGCAAAGTAGTAAAAGGGACAGTGTTAGTAAAGCTCGTACTCTAATGAGGTTTTTTGATGAGTATAAACTCAAAAAAAAACTTTGGAAAAAGTGTTGCGATTGCATCTGTATAACAATAAACTTTACATAAAGTAGATATAGCAGAGAATAATCACCTGACAAAGGGAACCTGCTTTCCATCAACAGAGCAGCTAATGGAACATGATTCTAGCGACAAAAGATCTAGAAATTTCGTCTGAAAAAGCTCAAGCTGTTCCCACCTGACTACGACTCTATTTTGAGCGTTCAAAAGAAGCATGAAATACCGTTTTCATTCGTATATAGCACAAATTTTTCTCGATTTCGAAAGAACTACCCTATTTTCCGGAGTATAAGCCGCACCTTGTATAAGCCGCACCCGCCGCTGCGAACAATGGTGCGAAAGCGCCTGTTAAAAGAGCTATATAGCAAATTGAAAACTCGGTGCGTTCTAGTACGGATAGGCATGTTTTCAGATATTTTTTTTTTACTTTTTTTCACTTTTTTCCTTAATGGATTCAACGAAGCCCTGACAACTGATCTAGACATAGACGATCTCGATAACAGCTTCTCGTCAATGCATCTTGATAATAGTGAGAATGCTTAGACTTTCTTTTATTTTGATTTACTGCTTTGAAGCTTATCACCTTTCGATTCCATGTTACTACTGGTATTCGAACATTCTTTTATTGTTCAGCGGATTCTTGAAGAATAAATGAGAAGGTAGAGAATTTTGTTACAAACCAATACCCTTGCGAAGAAACCAAATAAAGGATGAAAGCAGAAAGCCCGTATTAGATTACCAGGCGAAATAGATAGTTTTTGCTGCTTGTGCGGCTTCGCGCATCGCGAACGACATCGCATTTCAGCCCGCGCGCGGTGAAAAGAAATGCGGCTTATACTCCGGAAAATAGGGTATTTAAGTGTATCTCTTCATCAACATTTGTCCATATGGGAACAGAATTTTTGCTCAAAACATCCATATCAGTGCGTTTATGAAATACAGAAAAAAATTGTCGGAGATTTTGGAAGACTTATGTACGTTGCAACCAACAGATAGGTTAACAACGTTGATGGACTCCGTCTTGGTGATGAACCAGAATACGTGTGTTTTTCCTACTTCTTCAGCAAAGTTAATTTTGACCAAAATAAGGAACAAGAGGAAAAGCAGCTCATTGTTATCATCGTTCCGTGAAATCCTCAAAAATTCCAACCTACAGTATTCTTTTTACTTGAGGTCTAAGAAACGCATAACTTGCTACTACGACATTCTATACAACTTGGCATTATCTCAAACGCCAGCACTGCAATCAACATCTCCGGAAATTGTAATAAATGCCCAAAAATTGATATGTAAATTCTATTAGAAAACCTCTCTATGAGACTATTTTACAGACCAAACTTTATGATATTTTTTGGTACGAATTAAAACTTCTTCAACATTTCCTATGTGAAGTAAATTTGGGATGTTGCCGTCATTTTGATTTAAAAGGGAAAAATCGCCTCGTCTAAAAGTTGTAATCTATAGAACCAGCAAACAGCGGAGTACTGCATCTCAGCCAAGTGCGTCGCGGAATGCTCGTGGACATTTGAAGCAAGTTCAAGAAAAATCTGGGAAAGAAGCAGTTAGCTTGACGCGCGGTTTCGATTGTTCTAAACTGTCGTTCAAGCTGGACACTAGTTTAGTAACAATCAAAAACGCGTGAACAGCCTGAGCCAGTCGACCGGTGCTGAGCGCGTTGACTATAGCGGAAGACGAAGAATGTCTACGTACAGCCAAGAGTGTAGTGCTGATCCCGTGATTAGCGACATCTGGAAGTGTCTGGAAGTGGGGGGGATAGGGGGTTGGGGGACGAAATGCTGCGCTGTTCTGGCTGCTGTCGGGTCGGATGCGGCCCACAGCACGATCCTAATGCAAACCACATGCACTGCCGGGACGTGCGCACCAAACCGATGAGGCCAATCGTGCGATAAACACTGAATCGTTGCCAATCGTCAGCCGATATCGCGTTCACTCTGCCAACGACAGTGTTTGGCGTTCTCTCATTGTCCTAATGAGGTCAACAGATGAGCTTTTTACGAAAGAGTTGTCAGAACTGACGGTGATCCGCGAATACTTGCAATGACTTTGATGACCGGTATCTTTTTTTATAATACAAATGGTTTTGAAGTGGCAGATTTTCATTCACGTTCAGAACAAGATATGAACTTTGAGTAGGCTTCATACTTGAGCTGCAGAGCGCTTTGGAACTTGCTGCGCGAAAGCGGTGCACTAAACGGCGGGCATTTGCCATCGTCGCGTAGGAGAAGTATGTGAACAGATGTCTTCCATGGTTGCAGGGTCTGAAACAAAAAGTTTAGTAATTTTTAGATCATCTGTTACTAAGTATTACAATCACGGCTTGTTTATAAGACATTTTTGCTCTTCTGCTTACTCTGCAACAATTGCCAAATGCCCGTTATTTAGCTGCACCGCTAGCGCTCACCGGTTCTAAACCAGTTACAAGTTAATTCTAACACCACCCTAGTGGGTATGAGTGCATTATTTGCATTAGATGCAAAGCCATGTATAGTCTGGTAGTTTTTACATTTAATAGTGCGCCTGCGGGGCTAACAACAGTTGCGCGAAAAATGATCATCTTGGCTCAAATCTGCATGTTCTCGCAAGGTAAACGTCAGTGTCTAAAACTCTGTCGATGGAGTTGCCAAGCAAAACGTGAATTCAACTTCGGAGTATAGAATGTACGTATAATAAAGATGGGACCCATTACCATTTTGGTGAAGTGGGCTGTGGAGGAAAAAAAGCACATTGCAAACTCCGCAACGGACGATAATTCACGAAGCAAAATGGAGGAATCTACGAATCCTCAAAAAGTTCCTCAGAGGGTATCGATGTTTGACGGGTGGGGAGGGGGTTTGGTTTCTCGGCTTCCTGACTGCGTGTACAGCTGCCTGGCTGCCGGTTTCTACGCACTTTTCGAGCAAAACTCGACGAATGATGAAGACTAGTTATTTATAGACCATCATCAAGCCTAGAGGAAATTTTGAAATAATCTGGGTTGGTCAATGCTGTCACGCACATAGGTGACAAACAATCATATGTGTCTTTCATCAGTGCATCGAAGCAAATTCGACATATTTCAGCGTACTCCAAATCAACACTCGACAAAATTTTTATCACTTTAACAATGTGAAATGTAAAAACTTCGCAAATTAAGGCGCTATGAGGTTTAGCATCACAAAACATCGCAACCAGGATATGGAAATGTTGCCACACCAACAGCAATATCTTCTTGAGATAAATACATACAATAATAAGATGTGCGCTGCAAACAGAATGGCGAGTCCTAAGCTGATAGAGTTCTAATCTAATTCACAACAAAAATCGTATGACCAGTGTTAAAGCAAGTCATGTTAGAAGATAAACTCTACAAAGGAGTAGAAAGGAGCAAATCTGAGCTGAAGTGTCTGAGCAAAGCAAATCTTTACAATAGTAAAAATTGGTAAAGATGCTGGAAAGGAATAACCTCAAATGTTTCAATCAAACTGACAGTGAAAGCCGCGAAATGTAGCAAGCGTGGACAGGGAACGATTGTCAACAATGGACATGAAAAATGCAAATCACACGGGAAATAAATAGTAAATATGTTGACCTAGTCCCAACCAAGGTTTTGAATCTAATCTATGAAGAGGATCACCAAGAAAAGAGACAAACTGCACATTAATATTGCTAGAAGGAAGTGAAGGGTGTAAAACTGTCGAAATGGTGATGAGCACCTCGGAATTTCTGCGAATATATCAGTGATATCAAAGGAAAAAGACTCAAAAGGTAGTAGTAGACGTGCTACTAACTATAAAAAGTCAACAACCATATCATATCACATCAAATGTATACATTCAGTGAAGAATGGATTAGGATGGACATCAAATCCAATCATGAGAACTTGCTACTTACGATCCGTTCTCTGTTGACCCGTAACCTGGAGGTGGAGGCATAGCAATAACAGTTGGCTGAAACACGAGCATGACAGATTAAGATACTGGAAAAAATAAACGGAGGATCAGACTGCAAAAAGATAAGAACAAGCTAATGAATCACAAAAAAAAGTGTACTGAGTCTTGATAAAATCAGAGGAAAAGTTCAAAGCAATGTTCTATTAGCTTGGAAACTAAATTTTGCAACTCAATCAATAACTTCCCTCTCTCTCAACATGGAGCATTTAAATTTTGCCGTTGTGTAGGTTATGACGTGAGCTAAAGAGCAGCTGCTATTCTGCGAGATACTGACGTCAAATTGAGGGTTAGGCAGGTATAAAGTACAACAGGAAACAAAATTTGACAGATTTGGGTGAAACTTGGCACAGTGAGGTTATCACAAATGCCGATGACCAAAACGATAAGGTTGCTGTAGGCTTACGATATAGGCTCTTACCCTAAATACGGGAGGAGGCGTTGATTTAAAAATGAAAATGATATTCGTGTTTAGCAGTTTAAATAAACTATGTGAAGCCTTGACAAATTGTGAGGTTCGGGCTCTTTAGTCATTGACGGTTGTCCCCAACAGCCTTGCGTACAAAGGTCGTTCGGTTTTGTAATTGCGCCAAATCTCGGCATGCTATCGGATTTTACTTTTTTCTTGCTGAGCCAAATGATTCAATTTCTAGCAACAATTCGTACATGATTTCGTATCACTGCGCATGGTCTAAGCTGCTAATGGCTTAATTTTGGTTTATAATCCCAGAAATTCTCAAAATTCACTAGTTTTCGGAAATGCCTGAAATTTTCCTGATTCATGTTCAAAGTCTAAACAGTTGTGCGCAGTATTAGCATACATTGCGCTCTATATATTGCCAAGGTTTGAATGCGCCACATTCAAAGAGAGTAGAATTATGAAAAGTTGCAAAACTAATTTTCATGATACATAAACATAGCAAAATATAAATGCTTGAACCAAACTAACCCTCGTTGGTTGCTCGCCGTTTGGCCCTCGTGGTGAAGGTGGCGACGTTCTGGTGGTTGTGTCACCCGTTGGCTGTGAAGTTATGACTGGACTGTCTTCGCCAGCTTCTGCAGTGCGCGCTGTTGCATCCGCTTCAGCAGAATCACCTTCATCGAAGTCAGGAGGTCCAAAGTCCTGAGGAAAACATTGATTAGTTCAGAAATTTTCGCTACAAAAAAGGTGAACTTTGGTTGAAAAAAATCGACGAAATTCTTAAAGGCAGCGTCCAGGCAGATCTGGACCTATGGGGCTTTTACGTGTAAAGTACTTTTGGGGCCCTAACTAAGCCACTGCCCAAACGGCAGCTCAGGTAGTGCCCTAACGGCTGAGATATCCCCCTCGAAACTGGACTCCGCGACCGTGTTTTGCATGGATTCATGGCGCAAGGCGTGGATCCTGGCGCGAAACTGCCATGAATCCATGCGAATACGTTCGCGGGGGCCAGTTTCGAGGGGAACATCTCAGCCTTTAAAGAACTATCTGAGCTGCCGCTTGGGCAGTGCCTTAGTTAGGGCCCTAAAAGTGCTTTACACGTAAAAGCCCCATAAGTCCAGATCTGCTTGGACGCTGCCTTTAACCCGATATTGCTCCCCTTTTCTCGAGTCTCTTTCATGTCTCACTTGTCCAAAAACTACTTGATTAGTAAACTATCTCAAACTGCGAAGAAAATGTCTTCTGCAGCAAGTTTTCATACTACACTTTCCTGCACAACAGACAGATATAAGTCAACCCCACTCCATCATTCTTGCCTTGCAGAGGAGCCCACATTCCAACTGCATTCACTTGTTCACACTACACTTATTGATAACAACTTGATTATTTGATCTGGTAGAAAAATACTCGGAGCACACCCCACTACCACTCAAAATAGCAACCAACAAAGTCCCCCACACTCTATTCTTTATTCAGCTCGCTTGTACTGGACATGATAGGTGCATTGCGTCGCTTTGTTGAACAAACAACACGACGCCCGCCCACCTAATCATTGCCGTGAATGCTGTGTCGAACGCACTTTCCACAGTGCTACAATCGATCACGAGTCAGATGTTACAATCACTTCTACTTTTATATTAGTGAAAGCAATAATAGAAATAAACAAAATGAAATACGACGACTTGTAAATGTTCAAATATCGGAAATCACCAGAAATCTTACCATGTCTTCTTTTGGTACGTATCTACCACAGCAGAAATTACAACAGCATTTACAACAGCACATGCACCCGCAGCAACAGCAGAAGAATCCACATGTGAGCAATCCAAAACCGAAGAAAACCCACTGAAATAGACAAGACTTAGGCAACTTGTGCGAAATATGAATGAATCAAAACCGACTTTGAACCAAGGTTTGAGCATCCACTGTAAAACTTTTTCGTCCTCTCCAAACTGTTCCATGAGCTTGAGACCTGTTTCGCCCATTTCATCATAGATCTGTAATTAAAAAACCTACAGATAAACAGCTAATGGTTTCCTTGAATCTGGCTCCCTAAAACCACTTTTAGCGGGAAAAAACATCAATCTTCCACCCTATCACCACAATTAGTCATGACTAACACCATGTGAATCACTGTAGAAGAAATATTCATAATCGCTTTATCATTTCGACTCATATTTTTCTAACAGGTCACAACAAATCATCCCCTAAAATTTTCAACATCAAGTTTGGAGATGTGTCATCATTTTTAGAACGAAAACAGAAAGGAAGCTGTATTGAGTCAACTACTGTGCTTTGATAAAGTACAACAAGCCGGCAACAAAGCAACATTATCCCAATTTTATTGAAATCATTTGTGGTACTCATTCCATAAAGACAATTGGTGAAGGCAAAAATCGAAACTTACTTTTCGTTTATTAGGATTGGAGAGGACGCCGTTAGCATAATTGATTTCTTTGAACTGAAAAGTCAAATTATCACTTCTATAATATCGATTAGTTTCACTCTTAGTCACTACCTCTACAAGTAGCACCTGTACAAGTAGCGAAAAAGAGTGTGACTTGCAAGAAAACCGTAAATCATCGAATATCCGTTATAAAACAGGAAATTCGTATCAAGACCAAAATAGACGATGATGCGATTAGAACTAGCCTTTTCCGTTTTTTCCGGGTCACCATCGAGGTTCTTATCTGGATGATATTTGAGTGCTAACTTCCGGTAAGCTTTCTTGATCTCCTCATCGCTAGCTTTCTTATCCACACCTAGTACAGCATACAGGTGTGTACCTTTGGAGCTGCAATAAGAACTCATTCCAATAAAGTTCATGACATAACGAAATAAAGTACAATTTTTGTCACCTCATGGATGCCATGCTTCACAAAAGAGTATTAGCACGAAATAAAACTTTCGCTCATGACGGCTGTTGTGTTGTGCAATGAACCGCGCGAAAACTGTCACGACAGCGATGAAAATTTGAATAAGCTACTTGCAATAGTCACAATCAGTCAATACGATGATGTTAGTTATACTGTCCACCGGGCAACCTTGTTATTGAGTGGTGGCATACGCAGTGTAATATGTGTGATGCTAATCTTACGATGTAAAGATAGCTAGAGATAAGTTATTTTTGATTCACGCTTCAAGCTTCTTCTAAGCAATGCAGTTATGGGACATAAAAAATGCATAATTGCCGCTCAGGTGGCAAAAGCAAAAGCACCGAAAAAATCGTAGTGGAAGTTTGAACAGCATTTTTAATTTCGTTTAGAGTGCCACTTCTGCTACAGACATGATAGAACTCATAGAAGTGTATCATTGAACAATATAACAAATCTACCAAACTAGTCATAATTCAGCTGCCACGCGCTGAGAGAATCATTCTTTTTTACAATTTAAGTTTCTAAGGTGATGTAAAGATGGTTTTTTCCGATGTCGCAGATGAAACGGTGACGGCTCTTTTCTCACGTGCGAAAACAATCATGGAAGAAACAATAACGCCTATTCATAGCAAAGCATGAAAAGAGCTCAGGGAATAGCAAAAACTCGTACAATCATTTGAAAAAGGCAAAATGCTCACAATTTTTCTGGTTGCAAAGATTTTATGCCTCAAGATGTTCTTCAAAGAAAAACAGTAAGTAATACGTGCGTTTCATTGTACCTCGTGAGTAAATTTATATGCAATGCCTAATTCTCTCTTGCAGACAATATCTAAGGCATATTTTCCTAGGGAGACAGCTTAAGCGTACTATTGAAAATCCTACCCTTTCGAACCCGATAATTTTGTTACAACAGGAAGACTCAAGATACAAAAGCCATCTTCATAGGACTTAAAATTTGATCGAAGAAAAAGCGAAAAAAGTGAAAAAAGTGGGAAAAATAACAGTTTCTCTCTAAATCTGCTCCACTATGCGAAAACTGGTAAAGCTTCAGAAGAACTATATATTCCTCAGGAACTGCACTTTCATCGCAAGGGAGAGTGACTTACAACATATGCTGTCTTCACTATATACTGATAAAATGATGAATCTTGAGTTGTACAACAGCATTCATTGTATTCAAAATATACAATATACAAAATATTCATAAGAAAAAACTCACTCAGTGACTCCATGCGAATGACTATTAGAGTGTGGATCGGAGCCGGCGTTGGCTTCTTCGGCGGCGCGCCCATTCGACGACATGTCTGGAATCGTGCGCTCGCTAGTTGGCATATCGTCGCTACGACATGGCTCGTATCCACCGGACATATCTGCGAGAATTCGAGCCATGCAACTAAACTCCCGCAAGCCACCGGTCGATTGATACGAAAAAAAGGAAAAGCCAAAGCCAAATGGGAACGAAGAACAATTGTAAGCTGAGGATAGCGTTATTTGCACAAAAAGTTAACGGAAAATTTGAAAAAATGGAATATTTCTTATTTTGCACACATGCTCTAAATGTATGAATATTCTAACCAATTGCGTCCACACACGCGTTTTACCTTTTCAAGTTGAAAACGCTTCACTTTATGAAACTTCAATTCCACAAAATCAAAGTGCAGTCTGATGACTGCCTCTGCCAATGATCGAAAGTGCTAAGGTAGAACTGAGGGCTAATAAATGCAAAAAAGTTTCTAATGAGATTTTGCTATCTATGTCAAACGTCAGGTGTGTAAAAAAGTTACTTTATAAAAGTGAGCTTAGCAGGGAATGGTCAGAACTTAACCCAGCCATACCAAACATGCTGCATGGTCGGATTCGTCTTCAAACGCTGATCACAAATATATGTTTATTATCTGCCAAACGACTATCTGGAAGGAGTTATGAGCGTTCAAGTGTTCTATGGCGCATGTTCCACGAAACAGGTTTCAAAGACACCTATTCAGGTTTTTTTTTGTGAGTGTGCTCCTTTCTAGTAATCAAAATAAGCATAGCCACTGTAAATCGTGCCATCAAGCTGCCTTTCAATGATATATATTCGTCGAAACTCGTAAAATTTCTCATGTTTGAACGCTCATAACTCTCCCAGATAGCCGCTTGGCAGATGAAAAACATGTATTCAAAATCAGCGTTTTAAGAGGAGTCCGATGATATATAGCTTGTTGGAACGGCTGGGTTAAGTTCTGACCACTTCCTCCTTAGAATTTTACACCAAACCAAGTATCGAAAGCAGATTTTGCTATCAATTGAGCAAGTTCTGAACAAGAAAAAAATTCGGATTCTATTTGAGCAGCAAGAAAGCGCTGATCGATATTGAGTACTTCTACAGAAAGCGAATGGAAGTACTTTTCCAGAACATTCATAGCCCTAACCAGATATGTAAACATATCCTATCCTCTAACAAACATACCAAACTGACCAATTTGAAAGCAACTAGCAAATTTATCTTTCTCTTCATCTATTACACTCGAGATGCACAAAAAATAGTGAGTGAAAACGCATACCAACTATTGGCCAATTTGATGTGAATCAACAATTTGACAAACAATTCATTGAACTCCAAGAAGGAGTGCTTGCCATGAAATTCAAAGCAAGCATACCATGATAAACAGTATGTTACATAGCAACAGAAACATGCAGACGTCCAAATTACGTTTGTAGCAGTCATTAACATTCGCGTCATAATCAGTTAATTCACATGACGGAACGTAAGAAGACACAGAAAAGAGAGTTACTAAAAAATAGAAGACAGGAAATACAACCATTCAAACATACTTATGAACCCTGCTTTAAAGGGTTTTATTCCTATCCATCCTACTATGAAAGACCAACGGTGTCATGTGAACCGTGTAAATAGATGACCCTAACTGCTATAGTGGAGGTGGAAAACATACACAATGTGTGGGCTCAAATTTTGTTTACAAGTCATATAAATGCCTCATATCAGAAATTTTCATTTTTCAATAGTGTTGAGCTGTTACACTACCCCCCGAACCTCTCATAATCTTGGATTTCGCTCAAATATGTAATAGCGGAGTTTCCACAATCACAGTAAAGTACTCATTCTGCATAGTAGACTCTTCCTTATGAATATGGTAGTGCACGGTACGAGGCCAAATTTGGAATTTGCCAAAACTTGCAACAAATGCAGCCTGTGTCAATCACGTACTCCCTTTTCCATAGGCACAATCGCCGCGCTGGAGCTTCGCCGCTACGTTTGCGTGAGTATGGGATGAGCGCTTGACCTCATCGATTGGAAATCAGCACGCAAGATCCTTGCGCTGCAGGTGCGTACTTTCTACGCGAAAGGAAGTACGTAACTGACACAGACTGTAGCATGCTCAAATAGAATTTATTAACGTGCCTCACTCTGAGGATGAAATGGGACGCCCATACCGTATAGCTAGACCGTATTGTGCACGATGATTATTATTTTCGTGATTCGCACGCCGGATAAACCGACACCGAATCACTTCTCTATTTGTCTATGTAATGCGGTGTAAGAGACCTGTCATACTTTGCCGAAAAAAGCCCAAAAACACCAGAAAGAGCCGAAACGCCCCCTCTCGCGCGCAACTTTTGGTGCTAGGGCATGCGTGTTGATTTCGAAACCGAGTTTTTTTTTGCTTCATTTCTGTCGTCTGCACACCAAAATAATGTCACAATTCTACGAGAAGTTCCAAACCGGATGAAACAGAGTTGTAACTTAGCAACTGTAGTTTCTAGGAAATGCATAGTATTTTAGCTTGTCACAACCCAACTATTGTCTTTGTATCATGTCTAGCTCTTTGCCTTGTTCAAAATTTTGTTTTTTCTAGGAATTGATTGATGTCAAGGGCTCACGAGCATGGCTGCTCATTCCTAGTTATGCTAAAAGTTGAGACAAGTGTCTGCATCTCGAACTCTTGTTCGCTAGATGTAAAGTGCTTCCTTAACGACAAATGTATCGTCAAAATGCAGAAGTTCCAAAGACGTTCGGGTCTTTCTGGCACTTTTGGCTTTTCTGGGCGCTTTTGGGCTTTTTTGGGCGAAGTATGACGCGTCACTGGCAACAAAAGAAATACTGACGTCTATATTTCTCGGCTTAATGCATATGCGTGCTATCTCGCCGATATTTATAGGCTCTTTGAAAAACTGTTAATCTCGAAAATCAGCACGAAAAGTCTCAAAAACAATGTGTCACTCTTCCCCAATAACGCAGAAGGGGTAAGGGTTTGTAGTACAGTCTGGAAAACAAAACAAGAACACATAGAAAGGCATGCAGAGGGAAAGTACCGCAATCGGGAATACTTTGTTGACAGATACAGGGGGAAAAACTAACTAATAGAAAAACTGACCATATCTTGACACCTGCATCATCGATGGGTTCACAGCATCGTCACGAGGAGATCGCATCATTTCCCTTTCGCTAGCATCTTAGCAACTTTTTTGTTTGAGCAGCGTTAGATGATTCACTGCCGTCGAGATCGCAGCAAAACGAAAGCAGTTATCATAACCGACACATTCCGCGAATCTCCTTCGCGACACTTCAGATAACTGTGCACCCAACCAAACATAGTGATAAAGAGAAATGAAGCAGATCTAGCAAATAACAAAAGAACTTGCGAAGAACTGAAATGAGCAACTGGAACAAAGAAAAAAGAAGGCAACGAAAATTCTATCAATCACAATTGAACTATTTTCATACATGAGTCAAAGAACATCAACCAAACAGAAATGCTAGTGCATCAAAAGCGGATAGCGATAAGCCCTATCGCGGAATTGCAGCCACGAAAGGAACAGGAAAAAAGTGTGTGCTTTTGCGTCAACAAGAAATGAGAATTTACCGTAGCACGAAATCACCTAAGATTTAATAACGTGCACGTGAAAGTGACTAATGAAAAAATCTATTGGTCTCAAAATGTTGAATCAGTCTTATTTATAGACGTAGACGCTCAGCAGGAAAACGAAAGAATTTGTATGTTCTTGAAACGCCTTCCCGTCATGGTGAATTCGGCTTGCGAAGGAGAACGAATCGGTACTATTTCACTTAATACAACGCAAAAATAAAAATCACGGGTTTCTCTGAAAAATCGTCTACGGTGGGGGGGGGGTTATTCGACCTGCTGATTACGCAAATGATATTCATTCTGCATGGTGGGGCATTTTTGAGAGGTTACGGTAGGCATACGGTATGGGGTCAAAATCTCAGAATTCGCTGAAACTTTGCATAGGAGGGGGATTAGTCAACATGCTGATCAAGAATATCATATCGATTCCCCACGAAAACGCCTTATGGTGGGGTCACGGTAGATTTATGGTATGGGGCCAGGATCTCAGCATTCGCTAAAACTTTGCGTAATGGGGTTATTCGACCGCTGATTGCAAGTACCACACTTATCTCGCGCGAAAACCTCTCCTTGTACGTTACGGTAGGTGTATGGTAAGGGGTCAAAACCGTAGATCTTCCTGAAACTATGTGCAGGGGTGTTATCTGATGTGCTCATCACTAATACCGTGCTCATTCCGCTTATAAGGCCTTCTCGATTTTTGGGGTCTTAATAGTCTGAAAAGCGGGGAAGATGCTTCTCTAAGCCCTACAAATTAAGCTTGATATTCGTTATGAGCATGCTTGAAAACCCCTCTAGGCAGCGTTTTAAGCAATTTTGAAATCTTCACCCCTGTACCGTGTACCTACCGTAACTCGAGAAAATGGCGCTACCGTACAAATTCAATATGGCATCCATGTTCAGCGTGCTAAATAACCAGACCAGCCAAATTTAGATTTTGACCTCCTACCTACCCCTACCGCAACCATACAGGGAGAGGTTTTCTTGCGAAAAAGTGTGATATTCGTGGTTAGCATGTCGAATAACCCCCCTAGGCAAAGTTTTAGCAAATTTTGAGATTTTGACCCCATACCGTATGCCTACCGTAACCCCTCGAACAAGGCCCCACCATGCAAAATGAATATTATTTTCGTGATCAGCAGGTCGAATAACCACCCTAGACGAATTTTCAGAGAAATCCGTGATTTTTAATTTTTGTGGTGTACAGGGTTGAGGGATAATCTTTGAACACGGTATTTTTATTGGAGTCACGATACCAGGTAACATATTTACACGAAATAAATATATTAGATCGTTTCATAAGTTCGTCGACTTTTTATTTTTGTCGCCGTTTTTCGATGCAGCGGTTGATTTACGGCAAAGTACCCATACAATTGAAAAGAGAAAATCTTGCTCTACAAGAACTGCTGTTCGTTTTTGGAGCAAACTTGAATACCCTTCTTTTACGACTTATCAAAGCAAAATTTTTTGAGAGGTAAAAATTGGCGACTTCGGCAACTGCACTTTCCGCATTTGGTCCGTTTTCCGCAAGATGTTTCTGTGATAGGTAGGCGGGATGGATAGAAGCAAGCAAGACTGAAACACTGACAAATTTGCAGCATGCCAGTATGCATAGAACCGTTTGAACAAGGTCCCAATAGTTGTTGTCTTTGACTGCTGCCGCTTGAGTTTGGCGCGTTGTTCAGCGACACAATGTGTCGGTCCTCCTATCGGAACTTGAGGAATGGATGCGTTCTTCTAAGTGGTGTAGATGTATGAGTACAAGCTCTGGCCAACATTTTACGCTTTCTCAAAAAAATTTTTGACGTGGGAACTTCTTCAAATTGTGCCAAACGCAAAACATCTACACACATGGTAAACGTGCGCTCAATCTTTCTTTATAGCGTCTCGGATATGGGAGACTACTTTTATATGCACCGTAGTACCACAAACAGTCATTTCTCATTACTCATAACAACTTCAGACGAAAAATTCCCCCTTGTGGCACCGTATAGGGATCGAAAGTTGCAGGTGCCGAAATAGCCAATTTTTGCCTCTCAAAAAATTTTGCTTTGATAAGTCGTAAAAAAAGGGGAATCCAGTTTGCTCCAAAAACGAACAACAGTTCTTGTAGAGCAAGATTTTCTCTTTTCAATGGTATAGGTACTTTGCCGTAAACCAACCGCTTTATCGAAAAACGGCGACAAAAATAAAAAGTCGACGAACTTATGAAACGACCTAATATAATGTTTATCGAACAGTCTACTTCATAAAAGCAACTTTACATTTCAAAAATCCCTTCTTTGGCGCGAACACAGGCGCAAGACGCTTGGGAAAGCTGTCTACGGTGGCACGGAGGTACTCCAAGTCGATTTCTTCCCACGCATTCTGAAGAGCATGTCGCAGGGACTCCAGTGGCCGTATTCATCATTGATACCTTGAGGTAAATTCTACCTCCAGGTAGTTTTATCACTTATTATCAGCAAGTACCCGTATTCACAAAAGTACCTTGAGGTAAATTCGCAATGTAATTTTGCTGATAATGAGTGATAAAACTACCCTGGAGGTAGAATTTACCTTAAGGTACCAATGATGAATACGGCCACAGGTCTTATGTGGGTGAGCGCAGGCTTTGACCCGAAGAACTGACCACTTGCGGTAGTCAAGTGTATTCAAAGCCGACCAATACGGAGACCATTCCAAGGAGTAATGAAGTCCTTAAAGGCAGCGGCTCGGCAGATTGACCTACCTCAGATTTTGACACAGATGGATAGGAGGCCCTCCAAGTGAATCAAAACAGCAACTCCGCGCCGAAAATGTGAGTTCTGCAAGCCAGGGGGTCGGCCCAAGCGCCGCTCCCCTTCCTCCTTTCGCTCCCCTAACACCTTGTTCGGACGAGTATTCTCCGCTAGACGGCGCGGGACCCCCCAACCGCTTTCCCGCATTGTGCATGCTATACAAAGCCAAAATTACAGGCAGCAGGGTCTTCGTGCCAGGGCCTCCCGACTTTCCTTTTAAAAATTCTCGTTCCAGCTGCCTTTTGGACATTGAAAAAACGCCCCGAAAAAGGCCTTTTCACCCCTTTTAAAGCTCAGATTCGGGATCTATGGGTCGAGAAGGCCCAAAACATGCAAAAAGATGGAAATGCAAAATCTGCCGAGCCGCTGCCTTTAACGTTGCTGTGCAGCTATGCTTGAACAACCTTCACTGGGTGCGCAGGTGCGCTATCCTGCTATGAGCACCAATCGCTCCTCGGCAAATGGGTATTGATCCAGGCCAACAATTCCTTCTTCAGGATGCTATTCACATACGTAGCAGTGTTTACCTTGAGCACTGAGACCCTGAAAATCAGCGGCATCTTGCTGTCGGAAGCGATCTCCGCGCGAATTGTCACAAAACCGGATGAAGCTTTCCTTCTGCGAGTCAACCCTTGCTATTGGCTCCTTGGGGCGGTTAGGTAATGACTCTGTTGTTTTGGCAATCAAAAACCTGCTTCATGGTGAAAATTTTTACGTCAGAAGAGAGTATCGTTTGGTGACGTGCCTTGGAGGGACGCTCAAGCATTCGATGGCATCCGCGCAGTCATTCTAGCTTCGTGTTTTCACAAAACCATGAATTTTTAGCATCTTGAAAAGCTTCATCCCAAGGCCTTGTTCCACGATGTCGGAGACTGTTCTACCCGAGACGGACAGCTCTGAAGCCAGCTCAATCAAGCTTCGTCGAGGATTGTGACGATGGCGCTGGCGAACGATCCTCAGATTCTTGTGAGTGTCCGCAATAGCCAATTTATCACTTCTACAACAGTTCTGGGTGCTGTTCGTATCCTGGAAACGACGCAAGGTGGAAAGACCCTGATTTGTAAAATATGGGTAACCCGAGCAATCTGCTGGTTAGCCATCCTCTCTCGTGCATCTTCGCCAAAACGCTCACTCCGTTCTAAAAGGTATATCTCCGATAGGAATGAAGCTAATAGTCCAGTTTTGGAGGGCTTTTAACTAAGGGTATAAGAAGCAAATGCATATAAATAGCATACAATAATTTGGAAAATCCTAACATGCAATGACATCAAATATTGTTCAAAGACTTTCCCCCAACAGTGTATTAAGTGGAATAGCGCCGATATTTTGTTGGTTGGAAAACACGGTTTGTGGTAAAGATAACGAAATGGTAGATGAGTCGAAACTCCAGCTTTGCTCAATACCTTGCCAGAAGAGATTTTTGGGCATGCTGATTATAATTATCAGGTTCGTTCGCAGCAGTGGCACTTCACCATAGAGTTTTGATGTGCTAAAATGCGTAGAAACACTTCACGGTTTTTCAGAACAATTTGGTCTTACAAATCCATAAAATATTCTATCATAATATGAGTCCGATACTCTATTGCCTTTCTCTCGATGTCGTCTTCTCAGGCAGGCGGCTGCGCTAGATTTTTTCTCTCAGTTACTGTGTATTGCCATTCACATTTGATATCGAAGAAATCGTTTTTCTTGATTGATTTGACTGATACCTCTCAACTTTTACGAATGGAATTTTTTTCTCATCCTCATTTTTGTCAGTTACTTCACATTACTCTTTTCTGCCTCCCGACTCAGTCAAGAAGAAAGCAAAAATCGACTAGGTCAAAACCCTCAACAATCACCTATTAGTAGTGAATAACTTTCTCTGCTACACGAATCATCCCAGCAGAGCATACCGCCGGTGATGGTAATGAAGGAGGTTCTGTAGCCTTTACCCGTTTGTGATCTCCTTCATTCAGTCATGGGAGGAAATGTCGACCCTGACATTGGTAAGGTGCTATTTGTCCTATATGCCAAACTACTGCGACACGTAGAAGCCGGAAAGCGAAGCCGCAGTCTAGTTTTGATTGATCTAGAAGAGTCTGACTATGTTGATTGCTTACATTTTTGATGGCACTAAGTTTCCCTTCAATAAACAACTACGCTCTATATAAGCGGTCATTTTCCAGGGAGTCTCATTTTAGCTTTCCAACAACAGTGAGGGGCTTCCTCATCTACTCACGCACTCATCATGGGTGTACGTTGCATCATCATGTGCCCATTGCTGAAACATCAACACTGAACCTTTCAGAAAAAGAAAGCGATTCCAAGGGAGAAGATGAAACCTGGCGACACGGTACAAAGTGAAACGTTTACGTAAGCGCTTTCGTCTTTTACAAAAGCAATAAAGATTATAAAAAGATTTGAAGTGGAGAAGGAGTTACAGTCTCTACTAAAGGTGCCTTTAACATAAAAAAACGGTAACGTAATGTGCGTTGTTCGTACACTACGTTGAGAACGTTCAGGAAATGTTTGTTTACTTAGAATTAAAGTTTCCTTCTGACTTGCTAAACTCTCGTATAGCACGAACGCCATCGTGCGATAGTTCCATTATTCACTCTTTTGTGTCAAAATGCTAAAAAAAGTAGCACGGGGCACAAGCGAAAGCACGGGTCAAGCATTCAATGCGATTCTTTAGTTCGTAAGTGGGATGTTCTGCAAACAAGTGGGCAAAATATTGAGTTTTACACACGGACGATGAAGCACAGCATGTACTACAGCGCAAAGTTGACCGAGAACTTAGTGCTCTTGTCACTAGAGTGAAGGGCACAGGTTCGGTTCCGCTCATAGTCTTTTTTTTGGCAAAGCTCTTGCCGATGTGTCCAGTGTCAAGCTGCCTGCCTGTCCAACAGAAGCACAGGACAAGCCGGCTGAGGAAGACACCCCGTCGCGGCAAAGTGCTCTTATTTCAAACAAAATCTTCAATCAAATTAAGGCGTTTCCCAGAGGGGACGTGCACCCGAGCCCGCGAGTGCGGCCAGTATGCTAGGGCTATCGTCTTAACAAGGTGAGCAGGAACGTCTGAAGAAGCTGATTCATCATAGGTACGGATACTAGTTTTTGAAAAGCTACGTCTGGCTACGCACAAAGCTGGATCTCTCATAGCTCGACATCGGGTAGTAGATCCCCTCACAAGACGCAAAGTGGACATGGCCTGCTGTCAAAAAACCAGAAAAGAAAAAAGGCATAAAAATGGACCGCGGCTTCAAGCTTCTGTATAAGGAAAGCAGTGGAAGGAACAAGCAATAGCAGTAGAGTAGTATCGGAATAGTGGTCTCCGAAGCAACGAGAAAAAAATGGCTGGCGATCGGATAAAGGACCATCTGATGAGCATGGCCGTAGACATGGAGAGGAAGTTTCGCGTAGTAGCGGCATATGCGCCGCAGACAGGTTGCGAAGAAGCTGAGAAAGAAGAGTCTGGGCAAATGCTTGATGACTACATCAGCGCAACACCACAAGAAGAGATTCTAATGATTGAAGCAGATTTCAAAGGGCACGTAGGAAAGCAAGGAAGAGCGCTTTGAAGTGTCATGGGAACATACAGCATGCATAACGACGAACGAGAGCGTGTTCTGGAATTTGCAATAGCTCATGACTTGGCATTAGCAAACACCTACTTCAACAAGAAGACTAGTCATTTTGCATTTACGCCAGTGGAGACCGCAAATCGCAGATGAATTTCTGGACGCTGCGATGGAATGAGCTCAAGTACGTAAGGGCAGCAAAGTCATCCCCGGCGAAGACTGCGTACCTCAACAAAGACCGCTGCTTGTAGACTCAAATATCCCAGCCATAAAAGAAGAGCAATGAAGGAGAGTAGGGAGCGCATCAAATGGTGGAAACTCAAGGACAACCCACAAGCCAAAGCAGCAATGGAGTCAGCCCTGCCAGAGATGGAAGAAGAACCAGAATATTCGTAGGCGCATTTAAGATACAACGTGTGTTAGATGGCAAACAATTCACTAGGACGCACGAAACTGAGGAGGCCGAAGCACAAAAAGGAATTATGATGGTGGAATTCTACCGTACAAGAGTTTATCAAAATAAAGAACATGATGGCGTATAGAACTTGGCACAGGAGTAGAAGAAGCGCTCAAGAATATCTGAATGCAAAGCGTGAAGCTACGAAGAGTGTCAGAGGAGCGAAGGAAGCTTATATGACAGATGTCTACAAGAAGCTGAATGCTCGTGAAGGCAAGCGAGAGATATTTCGGATTGCAAAAAGGAGAGCGAAAACAAACACACAAGACACAAGAATCACTTTCACATGTTAATAATGTGGACGGATTAATCTCAAAAAGACCAGAAAAGATATATGCACGATGGCAAGTGCACTTTGAAGGCAATCGCATCTACATGCTACAAGGAGTCATACACCATAGTAACTGGTCCTGTACAAGAACTAGTAACGAAGATTACAAAGGAAGAAGTCTGCAGATCATAACGGAGAGAAAAAACGGCAAGCAGGTCCAGACGACATCCCTAGCGAATTTTGGAGGAGTGCGGGCAAGCGGAGTCACTTGGCTAACACTACTCAACCAGATAGTAGAATTCAAGAAAATGCAGAGGGACTGGTACAGAAGCGCAACGATACCGATATGGAAGAGTAAAGGGGACGTAGCAGGCTGTACTACGTATTGGTCTACGTCTCATGAGCCACACGCTGAAGACATTTGACAAAATACTGGAAACGAGGCCTTGAAACACCATGGAGCTGGTCCTCAGCCAGGGTTTGTGAAGGGATATAGCACGACGGACGCCTTCCATACACCTCATAAAATGGTCGAAAGAAGTAGAGGAAGACAATGTAAACTAGACGCTGCATTTTTTAGCTTCGAGAAGGCATTCAATAAGGTATCGCACGAATTATTATGGTGAGCACTGCGCAGACATATAGTACCAGAGGACTATGTACAATGGATTCAAGTGATCTACAAAGATGCTAGAAGCCAAGTCGGGCAGCTGCAGGACCATAAAAAGAATTCAAAGTCAGTGGCGTACACCAAGGTTCCGTACTCTCACAGCTCATATTCATCACCGTGAATGATGCAATATCAAAGACTTCATACGGCATCCATCGTGGGCACTCATACGGATGATGTAATCTTACTAGCGAGAAGCAGACAAGAACTTCAGGTGGATGTGCAGAAATGGAAAGATCTCCAGCTTTCCATTTCTGCATATGCACAGCTTCAGTCCGTGCAGCTCCAGGGAGCTGGAGGATCAAGAGCGTACATGGAGATATAAGCTCAAACTTCTGAAGCCTCCAGATCGAGTTGGGGAGCATATGTCGCCAAAGAGGTGGTCCCACACTATACCTGCGGCAGACTACGCAGCTCTACCCATTACGGGCAGTACGATCTGTACCAGCTGTCCGTCCGGGGTAGAGTCTGTCGGCGATATATAATCCACTACCCATTCGGATCGATGGTACGCTAATCAAGAAGACCACCTTTCCTCAAGTCCCAGAAAGCCGTATTTCCATAGATGGTAGACCCCACAACGAGATAATCGGTATGACGAATGCAGCTTGGATGGAGTGGAAAAGCATGACGGGAGTCCTTTGTGACAAGTGGATGCCATGAGACCTCAAGTTGCTGATTTACCTCATAATGGTTCGAGCGACGATGCTCTACGGTAGTGAGTGCTAGCAGTGTATCGGCAACGAAGAGAGAAAGATCGGCGTAATGGATACCAGGATGTTGAGGTAGGCCATGGGAGCTACCGTGCTGATCACATCACGAATGACAATACGGAGCCTGATGAAGTAACCCCAGTCGTCAAGAAGATGCAAGAACGACGGCTCCGAATGGTATTGATAAGTGTGCCAGCGAGATAAAATTTACGTAACTAGATTGGCCATGTCAATGAACGTACCAGGAAGAGGCCAAGAGGAAGATATAAGATGTGATGGCTATGCGGAATCAAAGCAAATATGAGAGTTTAAAACAAAGTGAACAAAGCCTCGAACCAAGAACAGGAGAGGACTTACGAGAGCAGACCCCGCATGACTAGAAGAATGCAAGGATAAGAAAACCACATGTACCACAAAGGCAAGAAGTCAGCGTCGTCTTTGCATAAGAATCATACGGGTAAACTCCAACTGCTCGTTTGCTTCTTACTGCAACGTACTCGGCATGAAGCGGAACAAAACTGTTGTACGCAGAATGAGCGACTCAAAGTTGAGCCAACACATACGCCAAAGGATTGCTGTTAAATCAAGCCTCAACTCTTCAGTTGTTTTATCTGCGTCACACACACGGGGAAAAACACCATCATGCATCGGAGTATAAAATGATTGAATTAGTCGCCTTCGAGTCTTTGTAATTGTTGTGGAATGGATAGCTTGCGGAAAAATTAGATGGGAGTTTGAATTTAAGTCTCAACTAAAGTCAAGAGGACATGCGCCGCTTTTGTCACGATAGTAAGGAAAGGGACTCTAGACAGGAACAATAATTGATTTTACTGATACTGTGAAACAAATCATCAGAATTTACACGACGGCTGTCGGCGGTTAGAATTCTAATATCTTCTTAACTTGTCAATCAACTCATCCTTGATAGATAGTTGAGTTACGCTGTCAGCTAGATACGAGGTATACATAACTTCTTCTTTGTCGGATGATATGTTGTTCCATACATCCTAGAGTTACGAAATTGATCTCACGCTATTGTAATTCTACGCTAAAACGTGCAATAACGCTGCATTAAAAATTTCTTTTCAGATGGAGAGTTATAAAACTACTTGGATCGGGTGGTTTTGGAGATGTGTACAAGGTTGTAAAGGTCAATAATCCCGATACAAAGGTTAGTGAATTTTAAGAAAAAGGGCTGACAATGTTAGTTCTAACTTCATTACAATGCATAAAAATTCCAAACCTGCTGCGCTGATAAAGGTTTTTATGCGCGATGTCTTTGCTTGATCTGAATTAATGGACTCCTTAGATGTTTTTATTTTCCGGACACTTAACATTTTTGCAACATTTGGCTACACTGGTCCCATTTGTTGTTTTCTCTCTTGCAAATCCACGACTAGGCTCATCTTGGGTAGTTGTGTTCATAGTTTTAGGTGAAACACTATATTCAGTGGTTTCTCAGCTGGTCCATCCATTCTAAGAACATGTCTTCCATCTTGCAATAGACTTCTGGAAACAAGGGGTCGCTTTGCAAGGGATCCACTTTTTGCTTTTTGGTGTTAATCTGGCTACTCTGCATGTGATCGCTTAGCGGTGTTTCGCTTTTGAAGTTTACTGACTACAGAGGAAGGCCAATCATGGCTTATATTAGCGGAGGGTGTTCAAGGTTTTGTGTTTGTGAGAACGTCTGTCTGTTACGAATTTATAGAGCGAGTAGCAAAGGTCTTGAAGGCAGTGGCTTGGCAAATCTCAACCTAGTCAGATTTTTGCTTACCTGGGGTTATTCAATACGCTGATCCCGAAAATCCTCCTCAGAGAGCTTGAAAACGGCGAAAACCTGCATTTTTCGATGCCCTTCCATTTGAAGTTGGACGAGTGGAGCAAGGCTGATGACGCTGTATCGTTGCAGGGCCCAATGGTTATAGCATTGGGCGGGTAGCTTCCAATGGTGGGAAGGAAATTGCCAACTCGACCGGGCGCGTGTAAGATTGGCTTGCGCGTGTAAGTATGAGAGTTTTCTCGGCAAGCAAGGCATGCTGTGCAACCGGGATTGCACTGTTTTCATACTTGGGTGATAAGGAACCTACTATGTCAAAATCTTGCGCTGTTAAGTTTTGCCGATCCACTGCCTTTGAGTCCAGTCTTTGCATAAAACATGCTACCAGCATGTAGGTCCAGCATGCCAAAGCACGAGCGGATCCGTTACGCAGATCCTGCAAAAAGCGCGCCAAGCTCGGAAACCACATGACCTTTGACCCGCAAAAGCGGATCAGTACTAGTTTTTGCAGGTTTGTGCAAATGACTGACTAGGTGGCAGACCGGCTTCCTCTGTTCCTGTCAATAATATATTGGTGATCGCATGCTCACCCCCCCCCCCCCTCCCGGTGCCAACTCCCGGCCCCGTAGCTCCTTGCAAAAAATTGATAGAAACGATATCGATCGACAGCGAAAATTAGCCTACGGCACCCGCTTTGCCCTGAAGCGTATGTGTGCAAAGTTTGGTCTGGTTCGTTTCAGAAATAAAATTTTCTATTCAGAACATAAGTACACACATACATACATACATACATACATACATACATACATACAGACAAACAGACATTCAGTTTTTATAAGATAACTAAATGTGCAAGCCCAGGGCCTTTGAGCCAAAAAGTAAGCAAAGATACATTATGCGAAATCGGCGCCAAAAGGGGATGGTTGCTTGAATCGTCAACTTGTCAAGGCTTTGTTCAAAAATTCTGGGAATTTGCAGAGATGTAGCTCACTGTGTTCATCGTCCTTATGACGACCATCATGCCAAAACAAGTTCGATAACTGAATCGTAGTGGCCGTTATTAATTGAAGAAAAATTTTTTCTTTTCAAATCTACCGATCTTACATAAATCGTGTACGGACGAGTAGTTGTTTTGAGTTCATTTGTGATGGTCAGCATCGCATTGTGAGCTTCGAAGCAATCATGAAAGCAGCAGGATGGCACACATGATAGAACCAGTGCGAGCTTTTGCAAAGCAGAGGTGGCGCACTTTATTCTCACGAAGTGCGGATCTGAGTGAGCTTTAGTGCTTCGACTGTATCCCAAAAGACTTGTTCTAGACATCCTGAAGTTTTGAAGGTGATTTGTTTGCTGTATCTGCCAATGTCCTGGCTATTGAGCGTTAGGCAGTCGGAATGAAGCGAGCTTATGTTGAGGAACGAATACCCAAACTAGGGCACCATCTGCGGACTGCTGGTCCTTTCGCCCTAGCCTTGTATATCGTATTAGTACCAGTAATCCAGGAGGCGGTTCCTAATTGAAGTATTCTTTCTTCTACGCAGTAAGCTTGAAATGCGGCATATTCATGCCTTCTTCAAAGGCAAAACGCCAACATAATCAACCTTCCTGTGAAATTCTTCTCTAAATCGCCATATTCGCAGCTATCTGTAGAACTTCCTAGTTTAAATTTTCGTATTTTTGCACAGACCGTTTGTGAGGAGCTGCTCTTATTCCGATCTATTCGTGATCCTATTTTCACATTTTGTTCAGTTCGTTCAGCTGTTACTTGCTACTAATACTGCTCAAAAACGAAACGTATTCGTGCAAGGATTGAGTTTTTTCTCACCTACTCTTACCTGAACTCATTCGGTAATGACATAGACAGAGCTGGAATGATATCCACGAAAGTCCCCGCGAAATGGGCTTTTCGTGCGAATAAAATGGACTTAGTCCATGCGGTGCGATAAGATATCGCATTCGCGAATCCATTCATTCTATACAGAAATGCTTAAAGGCAGCGTACACCCAAAATCTAGGTTGCCTAATTTTCTAGATTTTTCTACACCGTGTATATACTGGGCCCAGAAGAAGACCAACTGCGTTGGTCCGGTCTCCCAATGTTGCTTCTGAGCGGAGAAAACCCCCCCCCCCCTCAATTTTCTTTCACGCCGCCCCTTTTCTTTCTCTCCGCCTCCTCCGGACGAATCCATAACAGCGTAAGCTGCAATTGCAGTTGCAGTTGCTGTTGCAACATCTGTTGCATTTGTTTTGGGTGTACGCTGCCTTTAAGCAAACCTTTTTCCAACTTGTCTCAACCTGTTTGCTCACTCTTCCAAACTCATTTCCATCAAGTGGTCGATATCTGACTAGGCTGACCTAACATTACAGTATCAGTTACGTTGATATTTTTTCTTTCCCACTTTGTTACAACCCTTAAAATGTCATTTATTATCAATGACTATGCATCTAAATTACTCCCAGAACTATAATTCATGTAAAATCCAAGCCTTCGCTTTTCAAGATTTCTATAAATCTGCATTAAACCTAATTCTAGAAAATCTTTATGCAGAAAGCAAACTTTGGCTAGACTTGCACTGCAATCTGTGAATCAAATTGGTTATCTCATAGGAAACCTTGGACTACACTACAACCCAAAGGGCTTTTTTTAAACTGGAAAAATTACAAGTTTGCAAAAGATGACTTCCCAAATGTTTTTACTTTAGCTCTTCTTTGTCTTTCAGCATTAATGTTTATATCTCTAAGTAGTTGAATGTATGGACTATTGCTAGTAAAAATTTTCTCACAGAATTTTTCTTGCTAGCTAGCGGCACTTCATTAATTCTTGCGACCAAACTTAAAACCGCGTATGAAATGCCGTCTTTTAGGTTGGTTCTACGAGATTAGTCAAAAGTAGCTTCTAAGTGATTATATTGAAACGAAAATTATTTTTCTTTTTAAACACAAGTCATAAATTGAGTTTTGGTTGGTGATTTGGAGAGTCAATAAACTTTATTAGATTTGCAAAGGAATTTTCGCAGCGACCTGATATATGGAAGCATTCGAGGTTGTTAGTAAACATCTTGGTAAATTCAACCTTCTTCCATGCTTTTTATAAGGATTGTTTGAATCTAGAAAAAAACACGTATCTCAGGTTTCATATAAGACATAAAACTTTTTCCACTCTCTTGTTACCTCAAAATAGGCTAAGGAACACGTTCTCAAAAAATCGCAACCAAAAATATGCAAAAAGGTCAAAAATGGACTTACAAGGAAAGTCACTTAACTTAGGTCGGCCTTTTGAAATAAGACACATATATTTAGAATCAGCTCGGAACGCTGATTCCAAATATGCTGCCCTTAGCTGCGAAGCATTCCTTTGAAGCAAGTTATGAGCTTTTTAGTATGTGTAATTGACATATACCTGAATATGGAAAGAAGGTCTTTAGATGAAAATCTGCCTAAGAAAGTGGTGGGAAATCGAAATGACCTCAAACTGAGTCATCTGGCTTTGATGGGGTGTTGTATGCATTTGAACTACTACCTGGATGACGATACCGTAGCATGCCTAAATCGGTCAGCACGCAAACTTTGCTTAGGAAAAAGCTAGTAACTCGCTTCAGAGGAACGCTTCGCAGCTAAGGACAGCATATTTGGAATCAGCGTTCCGAGCTGATTCTAAATATATGTGTCTCATTTCAAAAGGCCGACCTAAGTTAAGTGACTTCCCTTGTTAGTCCCAGCTCACCTTGCTGCTGGGAGCAAAATGGGCTTTCAAGTCCATTTGAAATGGGGATAAATCTCATTTTGCCCCATTCTGAATGGACTTTTGACGTCATCTTTCGCAAGCGAGAGCTCAGGAAGGGTTGAATCATTTTCATTTCACCGCATTGCCTCGTGGTTGCGATGAAACAAAAATTTTTGGATAACGCGAGCGAAAGCAGATTCCGACCACTCTTCACCGCGAACGAATAAAATGGGGCTTGAAAGTCCATTTTCCTCCATTATGGACTTTCGTGGATATCATTCCTGGTTTAGCATTTTATCCATCGGACGCGACAGAAGTTCTCAAGGAAATTTATTACGATGTCTTATGCATCGAGAATGGAGAAAAAGCTGTCACATGCACGTAGGTGCACCACCTCAATATGCTTTTTCCTGGCAAATCGAAAATTTGGTGTCAGTAGTGTGGAAAAGGTTCATTTTTATCTCCAGCTAGCTGGCAGCCCAGCCCCTTGGGGATCCCAGACGGGATCGGAGTCGCGGTTTTCAGATGGATCCGGGCTGTCGGAGACAATAGTTCTGTAAGGGGGAGCGTGCACAGATTCAACATGACAGAAGGAAAAAACTTGTTTTCTCCGACTTCCTCGCGTTATGCCTCTCTCTTCCTCCCCGAATCAATCTGCATCCTTCTTTCCTTTCCTCCCTTTCAGCAGCTTAGACCCCGCTGCGAGACCCACAACAGCAAATATAGCCTGCTGCATGACGAAGACGCAATATCGTCGGGCGCGAACGCGGCTTTAGCCACAAAGCGCACGAGCAGGATTTACAACGGTGGAGATACGCGTGCGTCGCGTTCGCGCCCGCTCAAATGATAATGCTTCTGCGCCTTCGTCATGTAGTAGCCTTTATGTTCAAGCGGCCCCGCATCAAATTACTGCATTCTCTAAACCTCGAATTAAAAATGGGTTGCAATTGTTTGCACAGAGCTGAGGAAGTTGATGATTGATAAGAAATCCTTTTCACTTCGAATCAAAAAACAAAATCGGTAGAAGGGCTCAACTGCAAAAAGTAGCCTTTAACATCCACGTGTCTCAGTTATAGAAAAGTAAAATTTATCTACATCAGTTCATGCACAGTGGAGTACGTGATATACATACAAAGCAAAACAGGCTTCTAATACATTTGTATAGGAAAAGTTTCTGCAAAATTAGTTTCTGTAATCCCTCATCCAGTATCGCATACTGCTGGCCTTTGCTACGTACATCTAAACTTCTAGTGTAAACTCTGTGCCAAAAGCTTCGCAAAGTGTGCTTGATCTGTTCATTCTCGAATGTAATCATGTGGACATCGCTGATCTGAAAAGGAGTGAAGTCTGCTACTGAAATCAAAACAGTGTCTGAAAGCAACAATGAGAACAATGAGGATACTGCGCTTGGGAACTGCACGCTTCAGCTGTTGCTAATTTGAACCTAAGATGAGAATGGTTTAAACTAATGGCTTAAATCAATAGCAAAAAAATATACGCGATTCATGACACGCAAAGACTAGACCCGTCACGTCTGATCAAGATAGTTCATGCATGGGAGAGACAGCAGATGTTAAGAGGAACGAAAGAGATCGGTAGAGAGACGCCGATACCTCCGCAGTCTTTGCGTGTTACGAATCGACTATAGAATGTATATCATAAGCGTGCTCAGGTGTTGAGGTGCCACGAAGACGTTGCGAATTTACATTTGAGTATTACGGTTATTACCCTATTTTCAGGTGTATAAGCCGCACCCTTTTCACTCTGAAGGCGCACACGCCAAAAGACTGCCTGTTACGATGGGCGCGTTAAGTGAGAGCAATGTGCGAGAAAGCGACTGCCTCACGAGGCACGTGCGCAGCGGCACGCCTGAGTCTGCTCGCGTTTAGAGCAAAAAATGTGCGGCTTATACACCTGAAAATAGGGTAATAAAGTATTTATAACGTCGTTCCATTTCTGCTATTTTGCTTACCTTAACAGCAAATATTTAGGAAGCAGCAATGAAGACAGAGATGGTTATTGGCAATCGCCTGCTGCTACGGTTGAAGATTGAAGTAATGGTGTTGATGAAATGCCATGAACAAAAAGATCCAGAAAAAAAGGCCCACTTTGTGGACTTCGTAGATCGAGGGAAAACGCCAAAGTTCAAGGTCATCGTCGGCTGATTTTTGTTTACATTAGAAAGACTAAATCATTGCAGTTCTTGGTAATGGGTTTAGTGGGACCATCGCTAGAGGATATCCGCAAGAAAGAATTAATTAGAAATTACTCAAAATCTACAGCAATGCAATGTTGTATTCAAACGATGATAGCAATCAGAGACTTACATGGAATCGGATTTTTGCATAGGTAATTTTGGAACGTTCAGTTCGGTTTTGCATGTCGAGTCTTTTCATGTGTAGGGATATAAAGCCTCAGAACTATGCTATTGGACTCGGCCCGAATGAAAAAACAATTTACATGTTAGATTTCGGAATAGCTAGAAAATTTACTGAAGGAGAGACTACAGTAGTGAAGTAATCAGACCAGACCTGCATTAGCTTTGTCATTATTCCTTTTTTATTCAGAGTGCCTCGAATAAAAGTGCACTTCTTGGGGACGTTAAGGTTTGCTTCACGTGCTTGCCACAAACAACAAGAACAAGGTTGCAAAGATGACCTGGAATGTTGGCTGTATATGGTAGGATTCATTTTCATATATATGGGTGCCGTACCTTGGAAAAAATATTGATTATGAGCACTGTTGCGGAATTTAAATTCAACAGCGTTAACACTGCGACATACAGACTGTCTCAGTTACTATGTGGATTCACCAGCAAGCTCGGGTCCTGCGCGGCCGCCTTTCTTAGAACCCTGCCCGACTCGTAAAAATGTGCAAATTATTTTCTCAAGTCTGAGCATGGGAGGAATCAGAGTCGACTCATTGTCAATCATTCAGATGATCGCCGGGGGCAGGCGGCACCAGAAAATTAGTTCGCTGATTTCTTGCGGCCAGCTTGCACTTATTTGGAAGAATTTTAGCGAAATTTTAGAAAAATGCTTGAAGAACAATCGCGGTTTCCTTATAGACTAGCTGCGGCGCAGTGGCCGCATTCGCGCGGACTTTCCGCGAGAATATGCAGAATTTTCGAGGGCCGCACGGTCTTTTGTGGAGAATCGCGCAGCCCCCAGGTACTTTCCGCTGAAAGAAAGTATCTCAAACTTGAGTAATTAAACCATCGATGACACCTCTGCCATGTAGAGTCTCATCTTTGCTCGACGTACGCCCGAAACTGCTTGAAAATCGTCCGAGCGCCAGCTGAAAATTTGACCAGCGCTCGCTGAAAGAGCTTATTTGACGAACGCCTGCAGAAAATTGTGTGTTGCTGCCCGCTGGCAGAACATTGGACAGTAAAAGAATTACCGCTCGCTGAAGGTTTGGCCACGCCTCAAAATTGTGCTGACCGCTTGCAGAAGAGCGCGAGTTTGCTGACCGCCTGCCCCCGGCGATTATCTGAGCAGGAGTGGGGAAATGGTCAGAGAACACGTCCGCGAACGCGGTGCAAGCTCAAACGAGGAGGACGCGGGGGGCGCTGGTGCACCCGACCTGCAATTGAGATGACCTGTATCCATGCTCCGATGTTGCAGTGTTTCGACCTATTCGACGATGACAAAGGATTACCATGGAAAAGATGCGAGCGAAAAAAAGTGCTTCGAATGAAAGAGGAGTTTTTTCAATTAGAACGTGAATTTTTGAATAAAATTTTACCTCTTAATCTTTCACAAATAACCACGAAACCATGGTTGATGAATAATGTTTTCACTCTTTCTTCTCCATTTTTGTCCATTTTAGACCAAAGTTGTTATCGCATTGTACCGGAGGACTTCAAGCGCATTTTGAAGTATATCGACGGATTAAAATATGCTGATATTCCTGACTATGTGTTCGTTAATTATTGCTTCTCAATATGGAAATTTATTCGAAACTTATCTACATATCCTTTAGGTACTTGAGAAACTCTCTGGGAGCGATTGCAAAAGAAGCAAGATGCGACTTTACGAAGCCCTTGGATTGGGCTGGTATCACAACTGGAAAGAAAAAGAGATCCAAAGAGAAATCTAAAGAACCGGTAACAGTATACAGCTCTGCATATTACCGATAGTCTACAGTTCGCATAGCTAGCAGAATTGTCATTTTTAGGAAGTCGACAGCGATGTTCAACAAGAGGAGACGGGTTCTGGTGAAGAAGAAGACGAGGGTCCGCGCAGGAAGAGGTGTGGTCTTAACCAATTTCTCCCCTATTTCTAGGTGTACAAGCAGCACTCTAATTGCTCCAAAGGCAAACACGCCAAAGGGATCCGCATGGGACCCTTTGTCATGGGGCGCGTTGACCGAAGAAATAGTAGGAGAGAGCGAGCTTTCCGGTTCACAAACACAGCGATGCGTCCAGGTCTGCGTTTAGAGCAAACTGACTGCGGCTTGTACACTGAAATTAGGGCACATGTCGTCGACCGCACCCACTGGCCGCATTGCGGAGCAGGCGAGGCGCGCTTGCAATCTTACGAGCACAACAACTTGTGCAGTGGCTACAGCACGCTTTTCGTGCGACGCGTGTTCGGCAGTGTTAACCAGACCGCGTATGTAGTCGACGTCTTGAAGATACTATTGCAACAAAGCACTCACATTTACATTTTCTAGTAGAAAAAGTAGAAAAAGTTCACGATCACGGAGATCGCGTGAGTAACCAAAGCGGATCCCGTTCAGAGAATTATAGACAAATTTTTACAAATGTAAGTTATTTACACATCTACTGCATTTTATTAATCTGACCTAGCATGGAATTATGTATTCATGCAAAAAATCAATTCTCTCAAAATATTGGGCAGAAAGCCCCAATGATTTTATTGCAACGTTCACATTACATTACACATCCATCACATGGCTGTAGTCTAACATCTAAGATAATCCAACACTCCGTAATGTAGTGTTCTGGGGCTGCGTTTTTATTGTCTATTCATGTCTTATCCCTCGGATAAAATACAGGCTGGTGTCATGTCCAGTTCGTATTTTAGTTCGTACTTTAAGGTTGTTGGCTCGTTTTGATGCATTTTGAGTGTAAACTGAAATAAAGTTAAAAAATCTTACTGTAGTCAGAACCATGCTAAGATACGTTAGCGCAGTCTAACACTCATTGTTTATCTGTGAGCAGTGGCAATTCCATATTTTTGTCAGATTTGATATACACATTTTATGACAATCAGACGAGCTTTTGAGCGTAGATTTTTTCTTTTGCAGGACCACTTTTCTTCATACTCCTTGCCATTTAATCAACAAGAGTATACGATATCAAAAAAAATCGTATAATTGCTTGAATAAAGACATTTCCTTTGCTTTTGTTATAGCGGTGCTTCCACCTTCAGATGCACTCCTACAAGAGGTCTCAAAGCATACTGGGGGGGGGGGGGCAAAAGCCCAAATTCGGTAGACGCGATTCAGATTTAAAGTCCATTTTCTTTCGTAGCAAAATATGGAAAGCGGAATTAGATAAGTTTTTATGGTCAATGTCAGCAGCTCGGAAAATCGTCTAGTTGGCAAATCACAAACTCAAGTTTTTTGGGAGTGGTCAGATTTTGGGATATGATTACCTTCCAAGTGAGCCCTTGTGCTTCGGAGGAGTGAAGAATTAGGAGTGAAGAATTAAAGCAAAAAGCGCCCAGTTCCTCAGTTTCTAAGCCAAGTCTGCTCGGTCATCAAGTGGTCCTATACTTTCTTTAATTTTTTTTTCTTGAAATTTTTCATGTTCTATTGGATAATTGAAAGAACGCGAGACCTGTTCTGGTTGCTGACAATATACTGGTATACCATTGAAAACCGAGCTCATGGCACTTTAGAATGAATCTTCACATCTCGATCACTTCAATTCTGTGACCTTCCCTTGAGTATATCAGCTCCTGAAAAACATCGGCTGCAGCATTGCGCGATGAAGATGCAGCCCACTTCTAGTATTTTGAGGGGCGGAATTACCATAAGAGCACTAACACTTCAAGTAGTTTCGCATATACGCCGAACAAACGCAGCACACTGAATGACAAACGATGCACTCGCTGATTCACACAACTGAATTTGAGGCTTTTTTTCAATGGTAGAAAAATAGAAGCTAAGGGCGCCTTCATAGCGCGCCGTCAGGCGCCATTAGCAGCCTGTAGCAGCCCAGTAGCAGTTGCCAGCAGCCCGTAGCCGCCTCCGGCCGCTTTCGTTATCATAGGAGAGCAAAATCAGCAGATACTTACTGCTTTGAATGCACCGCCCAATGTTTTCCATCTTCCACGATTTTTCTTTCCTGTTGCTGCCAGTATGCAATTCGATCTCATGTATCATACTGATGCCTTTGTTTCATTAGCTTGATTGATATCCTACTAGTGCTTACCAGGGTCAAGCGTGGGGTGTGGCATGCCACACCTGGAGGGTCGTAGATGGGTCAGGAAGAGGGAGGGGGGGGGGGTCGTTATCGAGGTGATAGTGATGTTAGCAATACTTTGTCATTCAACGATGTATGATAGGCCCATTATACGAAATACCAGCACTGATGTTTTGGCCTACACCGTACACGCACAATAAGCATATTGAAAAAATCCTAAAAGCATGAGACACCATTTCCGTAATTAGTATGTCAAATAACCTCTGAGGGCCAATTTTCAGCGAATTCTGAGGTTTTCAAATATTGGGACACTCCATCATTTTCGACATGATAACTTCGTTTTAGAGGTGATTAAACAATAAACAACAACATTAAACTACTTTTTTGCACTCATTACAGGGTACTACTACTTCTTTGCTCGTTTTAGTGATCCCAGTTGAACGAACCTCCAAACCCTAGAAATAAGAGCAAGTCAAAATCTCGTCTGTCCCATTTTTGATTTTCTTCCTCAGAAAGATTAGTCAGGCTGAAATCACTTTCGTGAAGTTACGAGGATCAGGCTATCGAATGTACTTGTTTTTGCCGCCTTTCCTCGCGATTCAGTGGCGCAGACTCAGCATATTACCGTAGTCCAATGTTTTGGCAGTGTTTTCCATTTGCTTAGCTAACAAGGAAAGGATACTAGGTGACCGTGGCCTTCTCAAATGAAATGCACACCATTGAACGCATCTTGAAGCGCTGATTCCAAATCTGTTTTCATTATCTGCTGTGAGGTCTTCCGAAAGAAGTTATTAACATTTTTGTCACCAAAATTTGCGCTGTTTTTGATGCAGGATTCAACTAGAATGTTCGCTTACGCACTACAAAAAAGCGTACAGATAGAGTAAAGCTTCATGTTAAGCTCAAAAAAACTGTCGTCTATACAATAGAGTCTAAAAAGCCGGATACTGACGATTTTGAGTACCTAGGTCTCGCAAAATCAATATGGAAAAAGTCCATAACTTCGTTTAGGGAGTCGCACAGCAGATAATGAACATGGATTCAGAATCAGCGTTCCAAGACGCATCTACTGGTATACATCTCGTTGCAAAAGGCCACGGTCACCAAGTATTCTTCCCTCGTAAGAAAAAACGACTATATTTTTCCCTAGGAGATACAGTTTTGGATGAAATTCCTGCTATTTGGAGAAGAAGGTCTAGCAGTAGCAACCATATAAAAAAGAGAGATTTGAACGCTGAAGGTAAGTTAATGGGGTTTGGCACAACCCCTAAAAAGTTGTGGCCGCCACAGCTTTTTAGAGGTTGTGCCACACCCCATTAACTTGTCTCCAAAAAGAATTTTAGCAAACAAAATACATATATTTTGATAGCCTGAGTCTTGTAGTTTTCATAGGAGTAATTTAGTCCTGATTTATTTTCTTCGCCCTGAGTAAAAGCTGGTGAAAGCGCAGCCACTGAAAGCGAAAAATGAAACAAACGCAAATTTGGCCTGCTTCCAATTCCATGTTTGATGATTATTCAAACCAGGATTTATGATATGGGAAAATAAAGAGTAGTGCTTTGTATTGAATACAAAAAGGGACAGCTAATTCACTTTTGAAATATAGTTAGTCATCTTCGAGAATGTTCACTTCACTTGGGTGGTTCAGTATTGGGAATCTTCAAAATTTGCTGAATCTTGGCCCATGGTGGTTATTTGACATGAAAATTACGAATATGTGCCTAATTATGCATGGTGGAGCCTTTATATCATGCCTACGGAAGAGAAGTTGGGCGGGAGGGGGGGGGGGTATTGAGAGGTCGTAGCCGGCGCTTTTTTGCCACACCTCTTGCTCAATCCTGGTGCTTACTCCATGAGTCTATTGGTGCATCAAAAATAGATGATGTGTATCCTATGAAAGAGCGCCCAGCAAAAACTCATGTCAGAGACGAAGGAAGCAAAGTACGCAAGAAAGAATTCAAGCGCAGCCAAATTTCGGAAAAGTGAACCAATCGCCCACAATCGTTTCAAACGAGACAGATTGCAAAAATGAAATGAGGGCACCGATAGGGGTGGGGGAACGAAAGCCGCCAGGTCCAGCCGCCTCCGCGGACTGCTGGTCCTGGAACGACATGCAACAACGCTGCGAAAGGACCAGCTGGCCGCGAAAGGCGGCTGGACCTGGCGGCTTTCGTTCCCCCACCCCACCGATAGGGTATGCAGTGTACGGCAACAAGATAATGACAACAGTGGACACAAGTATAATAAAGTGCATACTGACGAAAATAGGAAGGAAAAAGCGTGGAAAGTGAAAAGCATAGACGGATGCAGCAGCGTAGTAAAAACTGATGATTTTGCGCTATAACAAAAGCATCCAGTGGCGGCTACGGGGAGTGTCTGTGGATCCGCCCTCCGCTGGGGATACATCGACTGGAGCAAGAATCTTGTTCGGAGCATGATACCTACCCAAGTTTTCTTCCGAGCTTGTTCAACAGCAGATTCAGATGGCACTACTAATCACTTCAGATTTTTGACCCAACGTTCCATTCGCACTCCTTCAGTATGATGAGCGATGGCACTACTATTCACTTTTAGTACACTCCAGGATGCTGTAGGTTGTGAAACAGAAAGGAAACAGTTCACTTAGTTCAACCAAATTATTTTGCTGAAAGTTTTCCTCTGGCTTATATGGAATGCTATTCACAAGATACTAATAATCATTTCGCATGTTAGAATCTTTTTTAAGGTTTCAAAGTAGACACGCGGTGTGGGGTATGGGTCTCAGATCTCGCTGAAACTTTGCACAGGGGTTATTCGACTTACGATTACGATTATCAAGTGCATTCTTTACGATATCATCTTATGGTGGTGCTACGGTGGGTTTCTGGTATGGTAACAAAGCAAATTCGCTATAACTTTGCCTAGAGTGCTTATTTGACATGAATACCGCGAATAAGAAATTGCCGTATAGTGGAGTAAAGTTGGGAAGTCATGGGGTTAACGTATTCGAGTACCAGTTTAGAGCGGTTAGTCGACTTGTTGGACACAAACCTTACCTTTTCGCTTTTGAAGACTCCTTTGCAAAGCTACGGTAAATGTGCGGCCCGTCACGTACTTCTGTGTGAAACTTTGTGATGGAAATTATCTGACGTTATGATCACCCATATTGCACTCATTTCGCATAATAAGCCCGTTGTTGTGGATTTTTGAGATCCAAATTGATCTAAAAACCGACAAGGGGGTCTATGCGTAACCCTGTAACATACCACAACTCAACGTTAATGCATGCTGCGGCGAACAAACGTGATGTTCGTACCAGCACGCTTAATAACCCCATGGCCGAATTCCACCAAGTCCGAAAACCCCTCACCGCATCTACCATAAATCCACCAAGAGACTACGGGGAAAGTTATTATTGCTGGTAAGTGCATCGAATAACCCCTCCAAACGAAGTTTCAGGGAAATCTGAAATTTCCATCCCATGCGTATTCCCATCCTAACCCCGCAATAAAGTGCTACCGTTAGGATGAATATTTTTCGTGAGCAGTGCATCAAATAACCTCTCCCTACACGAGGTTCAAGCAAAATTTGAGATTTTCGAGGGGCCGGTATACTGCAACTGAGATTTTCATTTATTGGGGTCGGTATACTGAACAGCATTAGAAGGACTATCATGCGGACGAGGTATCTGTGGCCACCGCGTCAGATACTCCCCCTCCCCTCCCGGTGGCCCAGTGCAAACAGATCAACTTTGACTGCCTGTACAGCCACTGTAACTCGGCAATTCCTACTTGCCGAGTTACAATGGCTAATAGGAAAGAAGCAAAATGGGTAAAGGCTACCGTCAGGGCTCGGCAAGAGCTGGCACCAGGGAAATTTCAAAACGAAGTCCCGCTTGATATTGAAAATTTCGTACGAAGTCCCTTTTGACCTGTTTTGAAAACACGTCATCATTTTTATATTATGTAAAAAAATGTAGTAGTGTTTTCATGCATTTCTGATTTCATGAAAGAACTTTTCACAGCTTTCTGAGCTTTTTAAGTGGTCGAATCACATCTTGAGAAGCAGAAAAAGCCGATTTTTCGACTGCCGAGTGGTTTTCAAATTGCTATAAAACGCTGAAAAGAAAACATTATAAACTGTTTCTTCTCCGTATGTAATCTTTTACAGTGTAGATACATTTTATGTAAAAAAGTATGAGAACTTATGTGAGCAAAGTGTCGGTGCCAGCTCAGCTGGCACCCAGCTGGCACGGTGCCAGCTAGTTCAGAAAAAAGTTAGGCACAGCTTTCATTCACATAAGTTTTCATAAATTTTTGGCCCGTAGTTCCGGTCCACCAACGCGCATGCACACACCAAATTTGGTGTCATACTATTGCGTTTTGGCTGAAAACAACGCCTTTGTTTGTTGATGGACAGCTTGCCAATGGCATGCCGGTGGCATGCCGGCGGCATTTTTGCGGCACTTCTCCGCCTCGGCCCCTGTAGAAACGACATCCCCTTTGCTTTCCGCCCTAAAAACGATATCCAGCTTGACCCGGTGCCAGCTGTGCTGAGCCCTGGCTACCGTAGGACGAAGGCGCAGAAGCGGTAGTAATTGAACGGGCGCGAACCAGGCGCGCGCGTATTTTCACTGTTGTAAATCCTGAGTCTCATGCGCTCTGCGGCTAATAAAACCGCGTTTGCGCCTAAAGATATAGCGCCTTCGTCATGCAGCAGCTTATATGTACTTACAATCACAGATTGAAGTATCCCGACAAAGTGTGCAAATCTGGAATTTTCTTCCACAGCCAATAGCTCCTGGACTGATTAGATCTTCTTTTCTCGAAACAAAATGTAGGACTTGCTTTCTTTTCCCTCTGAAAAACTAGATTTTCACAACGCTTAGAACAAGACATGTGTGGGGAAAGCTAGTATCACAGAATGTCGTGAATCCTTGCCAGCAAAGATTGCGGCATTGCGCTGATCCTCACTGCTATCTCGGGCACAACAGTATTTGAGACATACTGCTGCTAGATGATGTGCATGCTGATTCAAATTTCTACCATCTTCACGCCTTTCATCCGATCAAGTCCATTCAAATAAAACTAATCTGAAGATATCTAACTCGGCATTTAGAACGGCTTTGTTTTGAGGACAGATAAGCGAAGTGTTAAGTTGGCGCATGCTACTGATTGTTGCATCAAAATGTGTTTTTAGAGTTTGTATTCGAAACCGCCTATTTGCTACCATACCGTGAGTATGCTAGGGAGTGCAAATGGAGGTTTAAGCGAGCTTAAAAGAAGATTTGCTTGACGACATGCCCGGGAAAAATAAGGGCTAGGGTAAGGTGCTCTAAACAAGATTCTTGCTCCGGTCGATGTATCCCCAGCGGAGGACGGATCTACAGTCACTCGGCTACGGGCTGCTGGTGGCTGCCACGGGCTGCTGGCGGCGACTGCCCCCTTTTCCCTTTCCACGCTTTTTCCTTCCTATTTCTACTAAATTATAAACGTCCTATGTCCTATGTCTACACGTCTCTCCGCCTATTTCCGGCGATTGCGTAAGAGGTTCAAAATCAAGTAAAGTAATTTTCCTTAAGTACAACTCGGGTGCAACCACATAGTATCGCTGCTAGGGCAAGGTTACTACCAGGGTCGGAAGAGGTGTGGCACACTGGCGCACTTACCGGATGCGGCGGCGGTCAGTTGTCGGCCCAACATCGGTTTAGAGCAGCCCGCTGCGTGGATGATTGGCGGGCACCCGCGGACCCAACTGTCTGAGCACAACCGCCAGAGACGACCCCTTCCCCCACGTATTATCTTGCATACCGTAGGCATGACGTAAAGGCTCTACCAAACAATCAATATTTTATTCGTAACTAGCTGGCTTCCCCTGTCCAGCCCGGGCCATCATTCATTGGGGAGTAGATACTGCTCTGATCCCAGCACAGCACTGAAGCGATATCCCCCCCCTTCCTTATGGATGGCTTACCTTGGCATCTCCACTTCACCGCATCTTCGGGATCCTGAGACTGAGATGAGCTTCACCGCACTTCTTTTATGATCATGGAAAACTGCTGTTAGAAAATGATAAGGCTTTTATTTCTATAGGAATACATGTCTCTGTGGGCTAGTTTTAGCAAACTCAGAGTGTTCTCGATATTAATTCGCCACCCAGGTAAAGTTTTGATTTTCAAACGTGATTGACTACATCTTAAAGGCAATGGCTCGGCAAATCCTAACATAGTCGTATTTTCGCTTACCTGGGCTTATTCAATGCGCTAATCCCGAAAATCCACTTCAGAGAGCTTGAAAATGGCGGAAACGAGCGTGTGCAGTGCCTTTCGCTTTCAAATTGGACGAGTGCGGCAAGGCTGAAGACGCCGAATCGTTGCAGGACCCAGTGGTTACAGCATTGCGGCGGGCAGCCTCCAATGGTGAGAGGCGGATTGCCAAGTCGTCCGAACGCGTGTAAGATTGCCTTGCGCGTGTAAGCTTGAGAGCACTTTTCTCGGCAGGGAAGTCATGCTGTGCGACCAGAATTGCACTGCATACCTAAGGGGGGCGTATCGTTACGTGCGGGCTGCCAATTGGAAAACGTCGTGCGCGGTAGGCTGCCAGTGACCGCACTCGAATTCAGCCAGCATGATCCGCAACACATAGTTTTTCAGTTTCTCATTCTTTTTTAAGGTTCACAGACTATTCTTATATTAGTTTTACTTAATTATTTGAAGTTCTGCCACGAAAGTTGTAAAATGAGCTGTTAAAAGACAAAAAAGACACAAATTGAAGGAGGTAAACACTAACAATACAGAAAAAGCATTGATAATCTAGTGATATAAATCTGACAAGTTTTCTACACTGCTGCTTCCCCCGCGCGGTTACTGTAACGCCGGTTGCGACGTTTTCCATTTGGCAGCTCGCACGTAACGAGCGCCCCCCATACCTAAGTAATAAGAAACCTATCGCTTCAAAATCCTGAGTTGTTAGGTTTTGCCGATCCACTGCCTTTAAGTGAATTAGCAACCTCTTTTTGCACTCAATATAAAGCCTACTCCCTTGCCCACAGTATGGATCCTACTTCAAATAACTATCAAACTATAGAATTAAAAGCCAGCCAAAATCTCATTTGTCTCATTGTCGGCTTACAATGGCCGTGCCTTCACTATTGCACAAACGAAAGAAGATGAATTCAGCTCAAATCACTTTCACAAAAACGACGAGATTTCGGCTAGAACTGTATATGATTTGTTCGCTAAAATCCTCTCTGGAGGCAAGTAATTGGGGTGTGGCACAACCCTTTTGAAATTGCGGCTGACACATCTTTCTGGTTGTGCCACACCACTAACTCACCTTCAAAGCATTCAAGTATCTGTGCTTTTTAATTATTGCCACTCTTAGATACGTTCTCTACACAGCAGGAATTTCGTTCAAAATCGTTTCTCCTAGGAAAGGACATAGTCGTTTTCTTTACCTATGGAAAAGAAAAACTTTGCGAAAACATAGATTACAGTAACACGCTAAGTCTGCGCTACTACGTGAATGAAGGGAAGGCATCAAGAATAGATATTTTCTGTAGCCTGGATCTTCTTAGTTTCATAAAAGTGATTTAAGCCTAAATGGTCTTCTCTGATCTGAGATATTGGAAGCGAAAAATGGGACAGTAGAGATTTTAACTTGCTTTCATTTCATAGTTTGAAGTGAGCAAAATGTAGTAGTTCTTTGTACTAAAGGCAAAAAAAAAAGAAATAATTGACTTACCCCTTGCAAACGTTGAAAACTAAAAAGAGTGAAATGAGATTTTGGCTAGCTCCTTATTCCACAATCTGATGATTATTTGAAGCAGAATTCATGGTATGGGCAATTAGGGAACAGTGCTTTGTGTCGAGTATAAAAAGAGGTAGCTGATTTGATTTTGAGGTATACTACACCTTGTTCAAAAATTGCCACTACACTCGGTTGGCCCAATACCGGAAACCCTCAGAATTCGCTAGAACTGTTCTACAAGGGTTGTTTCACATGATAATTGAATATGTTACCAATTATGCTTGCTAGAGTCTTTACGCCATGCCTACGGTAGGCAAACGATGTCGTCTACGTCATTTATGCACCACACCTCTTGCCCGACCCTAACGATCACATATCTCTGCAATTTTGTGAAGTAGCAGATAATTCTCTCTTGAACTTGCTCCAAAAATACAATTTTCATGTGTCAGCAGTTGTTTTTTTTTGTGCTTGCCAAGTAATCATTGAGGGTTTCTGAAACTACTAAAATTCGTGTGATGTGTTCAAATGAAGAGTTTTTTGCCATTCTTTATTCAACAGTGTGGAAACGAGATGAGATTCGTCTAAGACTGTAGCAGATCTTCTTATTTCAATCAGTCACAGCGGTGGTCTTTAGGAGCTCTTGCGGTCCTTCCAATAAGCCAGAATTTCAGCGAGTGAAGGTAACTTGGTAGGCATGGGCTGTTTTTCGCTTTTCTTGGTCGAATTCTGGAAAAAGCGCTTTCAGTTGTTACCCATTTAAGGCCGAGTGAACTACTAGATGTAATGTGCGTCTAAAAGATCCTTGAAATACTGTGATGTGATGTGCGTTTAAAGGCAGGTCCGGGCAGATCTGGACCTATGGGGATTTTACGTGGAAAGTAATTTTGGAGCCCTAACTGAGGCACTACCCAAGCGGCAGCGCAGGCGACTCACTAACGGCTGGAATATACGTCTCCAAACTGGACCCCAGGATGGCATTCGCATGTATTCGTGGTGCAACCCATCAGTTTCGCGCGGGGCCCACGCTTTGCGCCATGATTCCATGCAAAATACGATCCTGGAGTCCAGTTTCGAGAGGAATATCTCAGTCGTTAGAGCACTACCTGAGCTGCCGCTTGGGCAGTGGCTTAGCTAGGGCCTCAAAATTACTATCCACGTGAGATTCTTTTGTCAAGACTTGCCTGGGCACTGCCTTTGAAGGCATGGATCGGCAAAACTCAACAACTCAGAATTTAAAATAGGTTTATCGCCCAAGTACGAAAACCGTGCACCTGGTTGCAGAGTGTACCTTCCCTGCCGAGAAAACGGCTCTCAATCTTACACGCTCCCGGACGAGCTGGCAATTTTCTCCTCACCATTGAAGGCTGCCCGCGCAGTGCTATAACCATTGTGTTCCGCAACGATCCAGCATCATCAGCCTTGCTCCACTCATCCAATTCCGAAGGGAAGGGCAATGAAAAACGCTCGTTTTCGCCGTTTTCAACCTCGCAGAAGTGGGTTTTCGGGGTCAGCGTATTGAGCAACCCCAAGTAAGCGAAAATTTGACTAGGTTGAGATCTGCCGAGCCACTGCCTTTACGCGTCTTCGGGTACTGTTTGAGTATCCCTTGAAAGCAACGTCCGAACAATCATGACTTAATGTGACAAAGTTTGACAGAGGCCCTTGCAACTAAGCCAAAACAGTAAGCCCGCTCCGAAAATGTGGAGTCTGAAAGCCAGGTGTGCGGGCTAAGCGCCGAACCCCACCTATCCTCTCGCTCCCCTAACGCCTATACGAACGAGCTTACAGGTAACGCGCTTTCAAGTTGCACCTGCAAGGTATCACCATCTGTGATACATGTTTTTACGTTGCACCGCAACAACTAGCGTTAGAAACTTGTCCATGATTTTCAAAAATGTGTTCCAAAGCGGAGGTTTTCGAAAATTTTCAGCAATTTTTTGTTCGGATTTGAAATAAGGAATGTCGAAGACCAGAAAGCCGAAAACATGGAGATCGAGATTTTGCCTGGATGCTGCTATTATGTATCTTTCTTGAGAGGATAGTTCGTACTGTTCAAATGTTTGAACAATTAGTTATTATTCATTTTCAAAGGCAGTGTCTCACAAAAGTTGAGGTCGCGCGGATTTTCACATATTCTATTACAGAGTCCTCTGAATAGGCCATGCAACAAGTCCCACTCAATTTGACCCCCTCCACGCTGAGAAAAATTCGCTCAAAGTGGTTCGCGGAGAGCGACTTGGTACGCGCGGACGACTCCTTCGGTCTCCCCCCTTACGCGTTTTAACATGTCCCTCCACTTGGCATCCCCCCCCCCCCTGTGTTCCTGCCACTGTGGTTGAGGCTGAAGTTGAAAGGTACAACTCGTCCACGTTGCTTGCGCGGGGCCTCCAGAAAATGGGGTTTTTGGGAACTTCGTGCGATTTTAGGCCCAGACAGTGCTAGACAAGGTCCGACAGGTTTGCAAAATGCAAAAGACTCGGCAACTAAGTTTTGTTGAGACACTGCCTTTAACACGTTGACGACCGTATGCATCCGCGCGTATGCACGCCCTAACTCCCGTTTAGCATTTTCGTGCATCCGCGCATATGCACGCTAGTTTTCTAGGTGTAAACGAAAAGTTTCAAGGTAACTTCTATGCAGTAATACTACTGGTAGCCTGATAGTCTTACAGAACACAGGGCATCGCGGCAGCTGTTCAGAAGTTTGGGCCGCAAAATTGGGTAATCAGTCGGTTTTTGGTAAGGTAAACACATGCTAATTACGTTTTTCCGAGAAGGTTAAAACTCTGTAAAGCTGTTTTGAAAGCAAAATAGGATGAATCAAGCAAAAAATACCTGGTATTACAGCGTTTTTTTTTTGAAAAGAAATTCCTCCAATATAGCGATTGCGCGGTTATTGGGAGGGAAAATCCACGCAAAAACCTTGATTTGTGTAAGTCCTAGTAAAACTTTGTGATTTACATGTTTCTCTGAACATAGTTTGCATGTTTTCTAAATGAGTGTCAAAAAGACTCCCACATAATGTTTTCGTGCATACGCGCGGATGCACGGGTCAAATGCGCGAAGGACGTTAGTGTGAGTTTCGTCCAAAATGGCGCGGTCGTCAACGTGTTAAAGGCAGCGTCCAGACAAGTCTGGACTCATGGCGATCTCACATGGATAGTAATTTTGGGTCCCTACCTAAGCCACTGCCCAACCGGCAGCTCAGGTAGTGCTCAACGGCTGAGATATTCCCCTCGAAACTAGACGCCGCGATCGTATTTCGCATGGATTCATGGCGCAAAGCATGGATCCTGGCGCGAAACTGTCATGAATCCATGCGAATACGATCGCGGGATCCAGTTTCGAGACGACTATCTCAGCCGTTAGAGCACTACCTGAGCTGCCGCTTGGGTAGTGGCTTAGTTGAAGCCCCAAGATCCACGTGAGGGCCCCATATGTCCAGATTTGCCTGGACGCTTCCTTTAAATCCAATTTTCAGTTCTAATCTAAGCAAAATCTTTGATATATATAAGTAATATCATACGCATTAGTAAGTTTGACTGAACGGTTGATACGACTTTTTCGTTTTTTCGCGGAACTTGTGCAAGTACCTAATGATTAGCAACTTCCACTCATAATCTCCAAAACATGGTGAGCTGCAATGGATGACAAAATAAATTAGTCTTTGGCATAAAAAACAATTCGTTTAAGGAAAATTAGTGACCAAATAGGCAAGCTTTACTGATATTGTAATGGTGCATGCATTTCGACGTGTGACTAACAGATAATAGTGTGTAACATATTTAGGGAAGCTAGAGGAAAACGTCAGAAAATAGGGTGTTTTGACTACAAAGGCCCCTCTTCTGAAGTGGCCATGGGTATGAGATGTACTTCATCAATCCGGCATGATGTACCAATTGTAAATCTTTCTTTATTATCTGCAAAAGTCTTGTGGCAAATTATGAGCGTTCTCAAGGCAGAAATTCTAAAACACTTTACCAAATCCGTTTAAAACAATTTTTTACGAGCTCAAGTTGAGTAGCAGTGAGTATCAAATAAGAAAATATCATTTACATCAGGTAATCTGACAAACATCGCTATTACTTTTGAGTACGGCTTTCGTAGTAAGATATTACATGAGTAACAAGTATCATTCATTCTCTAATCAAGAGACACGAGCACGCTTTGCGTACGTCTGTTCATGAGTCTCGTAAGTTCATGAGCGCGCTCTAACGCGTAATGATTTACTATTAGAACTTCGTGAAGAACATGTCTGAGCATGTTGAACACTGCGAGTTTGACATTTTCTTTCATAAGCTCCTAATAGTAATTTACCAAAACGCGTTAAAAAGTCTCCATTGTTAATCAAACGTACGCAAGGCGTGCTCGTGTCTCTTAAACGGGGAATGAATCAAATATAAAGACGAATAAGAAACGAAGCTCTGTTGGATAGTGCCGTGTCATGCGGTCAACGCGCACTTTTAAACCTTGCGAAGTCCTGAACAGCGTCAACAAACAGATCACATACATAAGTTCTTTTTAAGATAAGGCTCTAGATGTTGGGGAGACTAGCAACTCACGACAGGGAAGCAACTAAGCGGAAACTTCATGAACGCCTACTGCTTGAGCAAGGGCCAAAGCCGACACAACTGTCACGAGCAAGAAACCCTATAACAATATGCACCAGTTTAGAAAGAATTCCAAAATTTAATCTCAAAGTGGAACATGATGTATGTTCTCTAACAACACTGGACAAATCCTGTATGGTATCGTAATTCTTGAAGAATTTATTATGAGTTTACGGACAGCGTGAAGCATCAAATGTATATTTTTGCAATACAAAAAAGCTCGCACAGTTTCACGGACGAATAAGAGAGCATTAAGTAGCTGTTAATTCAGGACAGCGATTAAAGCAACTAATGTAAATGGCTCGTAACATTAATTCTGGTCCTCCAACAAAGCCTCCCATCTAACATCATCGCTGAAGGTGTCGTTCCTCTAAACTTTGTCGTGACATCACTAGCATGAGCACTTTACCTTAGCTTTACCTGTGGCAGTCGAATTCCCTGCGTAAGGCACAAACCCGTAGAGACTACTTTTATCCTTACTCTGCCAATGAAGTGGTCCTTTTCTCTCCTGGAACAACGACGTTTACTCAAAAACTTTCCTAGGGACGCAGTAGGTAGTCTGCTCTCTGTGCTCTGTGTGTGACTGCAGATGCCATCTTTTACCCCAACAGTTGCGCACTTTCTTGCTCGTCTTTATAAGTACCTTTCCAGTCGTTATCAAATCTGTGAAGCTACGTTTGTTCTTCTTCAAAATATTACACAATCGTAGCACCATTCTCTGAAGGTTAGTTCAAAGACGACGAAATGAAGTGGCGTAGTTTCTCCAGTTGAAGACCACGTTATGAAATCATGATGACCGCCCTGACGCATAATTAGGTCGCATTCTTCAGTACACGATGAAAATGACTTCCTTCTTGGATATTCTCGTTCTCGCCAGCGCAGCTCATCACTTATGTTCAGATGTGATCGTGAAGTCAGCGGTCCCGAACCGTCTCACTTCTGAATTCAAGGTTCTATTGACTGCTCACCGTTCTTGCATCAACTTTCCGTTTCTGTGGTTAGATATTACTATGGAGTAGAAACTGGCTAGACTGAGAGCATCCAAATGTTTGAGCGAATGCCACTAGTTTTTGAGAATCATGCTCATAATCACGCTCGCCCGCTGCTTCTGTAATCT